GGTGGATTTCGAAACTGTAGTCTCACTTTCAATAAATCTAGTTTTTACGTTATGGGTTTTTCCTACCATATGTATGTGTGTATACATATATATGTGTATATATATACGTATACATACACATATATAGAAGCCCATATATACATACATATATATTTGTATATGTTTATACATTTATATATATACTGTATACGGATGTGTGTATATGTACATATATTTGTATGTACACACACACGCATGTATTCTTACAGACATATATATATATATTAATATATAATACCTATATATACAGATATATGCGGAGGACACCCATAGTATATACATATATATATATACCCATATGTGTGTATGAATGTATGTATATGTATATATGCATGCATTACATATTAGTTTCTTTTACACCAGTTCCATGACTAATTCCCTTCAATCTCTTACTGGTAAGCATTTCTACCCTATGAACTCGCTGACTTTGGACTACAAGTCTCGTTTATATGACATTTAAATCTTAATAAGAGAAGACGCGGCTCATTGCCTCACACAGATATATTTCCTTGCATTCCTGTCTTTGATTTATGGTTCTAAAGACTTTCAAAAAATGTTATATTCAAGTCATTCTTCACTTATTCTCCTTTCTTTAGATCATATAAAAAGCTAATTAATTATTCAAAGATTGAGGAAGTACATCCATGTGATCTGGTGCTTTTGGGTGCGTGAACATTTCCTAGTCGAAGGCCACGCCCCGCACAGGAGCCGTATATAAAGGGACAAGCAGTCAGCAGACACAAGATCCTCAGTGAGCCAAGAAGAGGTCCAACCATGAAGCTTGCGGTAAGTCGATATATCTGTGAGAACGAAGAAATTATCTATATTCATACTTACATACACTTACATATATGTATATGTACAGATATACTTATATGTGTATATATATATATGCGTGTGTACATGTATATTTTACATTTTTATTGTACCATTTTCGTTCCTATCAAATATTAATTGATGAACGACAAAAAGTAAGCATCACTGATATAAGCTGTCTATAGATTTTGATTAAGGATTCATAAAATCGTGGATAAGTCAAAGATCAGCAATTATCATATATTCTTCAAAGAATATCATTTTATTCGAAAACTTTTTTTTCTTTTTTGATTCAGACGATAACACATTGAATATTTTTCAGGCAATCACACTGGTGTGTTTGGCAGCGGCCGTGGTAACACACGCCGATCCCGAACCACACAAGTATTATCACTACCCCAACTACCACTATTATCCTTACAATCATCATGTCAAACCACTGGAAGGCGATGGAGTGGCTAGACATCCAGGTGGCGGTACTTCCTTCGTGGCTCCTCAAGTTCATGGCCTCACTAAACGCTCAGCTGACCTGATGCCCGAAGCTGACCCTGAACCAGAAGCTGACCCTGATTCCGCCAATAGCTATAGTTACCAGGTAGTCCACCATCGCCATCCCCACTATGGATACCACAATGGCTATCGCTACCCTTACAATAGCTACCACTACAACCACTACTATGGTTATCCTCACAGATACCACAACCACCACAAGAGATCAGTCGAATCTGAACCCGAACCTGAACCTCATTACACCTATCACGGACGCCCTCACTACTACAACAGATACTATCACGGCTATCCTCACTACTATCCTTACTACACCGGTTACCGCTACCGCTACAGGGGATAAGGGAGAGGTCAGGCATGGATTGCAGAGGGCCTTGTGGTGATGGTCCTTTACCAGATGTGTCTGATAGTCTGGTTTGCTCACGCCGTTTTTTCAGACACAGCCACATGAAAATGATTACAAAAAGAATAAAGATTACAATCAATGCTAGGAGATTGCCTCACTCATCCAAAGTATTTTAGGTTATTGGGGACAACAAATACAAACATTATCATTATTATCATAAAGTTTAATCTATTAGAAACAACATTGATATAACTATGAAAAAATATTTTCAAATACTTATTAACGTATGTAAGTATTTTAATCAATGTATACAGAACATTCACTTGTTACTCAAACTGGAAATTCTTTGCAACAAGGACGATCAGCCAGGATTCCTACATAAATATCCCTGTCATGCAATGTTTTTGGTGATAATCCTAAGGTTTCATCGCATTTCATAGACATTATACATTGATGGTACGATCACACGCACATACTTATATGTATATCTATATGTATCTATATGTAAATATATGAATATATATGTATGTATATACGTGTATACATGTATGTATATTTGTATGTATATACATAAAGTAAATTGACATAAATATGTGTGTGTATAAGATATTTACATGTAATATATATGTGTGTGTGTGTGTTAGTATGTATGTGTATGAAATATAAATGTATATACCTACATACATATAAATATATATATGCGTATATATGTATGTATATTTCCATTATATATATATATAAACACATCGCGCGCGCACATACACTCTCACACACACAAACAAACACACACAAACACACATTGACACGCACATACACACTCAAACAAACATGCACTCACACGCAAACATACACACACATGCACGCACACCCACATACACCTACACAGGTACGCTCATATATTAATAAATCTACAATATATGTATACATACATATATATGTGTGTGTATTAATGTATGGAATACACATACATTTATGTATCTGTGAGTGTGCATATATATACATATATACACATATACATGTGCGTGTGCGCGCGCGTGTGTGTATACATACACACACACACACACACACATATATGTGTGTGTACGTATATTTATGTATAAGTGTGTGTGTGTGTGTGTGTGTGTACATTTACATTGCGTGTAAATATATGATTATATATTTACACGCACACACACACACACACACATGCACACACACACAGATATGTGTGTGTGTGTATAGATAAATAAATATATAACTATATATATTTACATTTATGTATTTGCGCACACACATATAAACACATAAATATATATATATATATATATATATATATATATATATATATATATATATATGCGTATGTGTGTATGTGTACGTATATTTATGTATGTGTATGCGTGTGTGTATGTGTGTGTGTGTGTGTGTGTGTGTGTGTGTGTGTGTGTGTGTGTGAGAGAGAGAGAGAGAGAGAGAGTGTGTGTGTGTGTGTGTGTGTGTGTGTGTGTGTGTGTGTGTGCATTTACATTGTATGTAAATATATGATTATATATTTACATGCACACACACACAAATATGTGTGTGTGTGTGTGTGTGTGTGTGCGTATATAGATAAATAAATATGTAACTATATATATGCACATGTATGTATTTGCGCACACACACACATAAACACACAAACACATACACAGAAACACACACACAGACACATGCATATACATACATACATACATTCATATATATGTGTGTGTGTGACTACCGCGGTGTGTGTGTGTGTGTGTGTGTGTACATTTACATTGCGTGTAAATATATTATATATGCACACACACACACACACACACAGATATGTGTGTGTGTGTATATATATATAGATAAATAAATATATAACTATATATATGAATGAGGAAAACACTATACCGTGGGATACTATGGTAGAAAAACCCACAATGTAAAAACTAGATTTATTGAAAATGAAAATGAGACGACAGTTTCGGAATCCACCTGGATTCCATCCTCAGGTCTGAGGATGGAATCCAGATGGATTCCGAAACTGTCGTCTCATTTTCATTTTCAATAAATCTATATATATATGTACATGTATGCATTTGCGAACACACCCATAAACACACAAACACAGACACATGCATATGCATACACACATACATACGTACATACATACATTCATATGTGTGTGTATGTGTGTGTGACTGCCGTGGTGGTCCATTGGTTAGAATATCTCAGCGAGAAAATGACATATCGCCTTGAGAAGTCAAAACGCAGGATGTCATAAGGAAGGTCACTTCCGTGGCACAAGTGTTAGCGCGCCGAACCACGGCTGATTAAGAAGGGCATCCAATCAGGTAAGAGTGGCACTGCAAAATAACCTCTCAATAGTGAACTGAGAAAGGCCTATGCCCTGAAGTGGAATAAGCGGTTGTTGAAAAACAAAAAAATATATATATATGTATGAATCATTGTATGCATGTATGTATGTAGGTGTCAATATGTTTATATATATGTAAATAAGTAAATGTATACATACGTATAATATGCAATATACACACATACATACATATGTACATATATCCACATTCATCTGAATATATATATATATATATATATATATATATATATATATATATATATTCATATATACAAATGTATACAGACATACACACATATCTACAAATAAGTGTGTGTATATATCTAATTATTTGTTTATAGATATATATACACGCATACACACACGCACACACACTTACACAGACACATAAACACACACACACATACATACACACATGCAGTCTATGTGCGTACAGGTAGTGCAATGATTATTCTTAGGATTCAGGAATCATCTTTTGTCGGAATAGATAGCTGTGTAAAAATAAAGATTATGATAATTTAATGGGTATGTTCAAAACCTTCTATCATCTTATGTTCTCGAATAAGATTCACACTTTTGTTGGTCTCAACTTTTCAGCAAGAAAAAAGCTGTTATGATTATGTTTATATATTGTTGATTCGGAAAGCTTACAAGTTTATGAAAGAAAACCGAGTATAATATGAACAACGCAACTGGTCTACGTAAATTTGAGATAAATGTATACATTGATATATCCATACGCATAACAGTTCACACACACATATATATACTCTGTGTGTTGTGCGGCGCTTTGGTAACGTTCTCGTCTAGCAGTCTGGCTGACCTGCGTTCAAATCCCTCGCTGCCAGTGGATGGTAACCCCGGTCATTCCTTGCACACAGGGGGCCATTTAGAAGCATGTTTTGCTTGTTACACGAAAAATAAGAAAAAACCACTGTAGCAAATGGAATTAACTAAATTATTATCATACATACAAAAATAATTCATTTGTATGATTGTATATAAGTTCATATATATATATATATATATATATATATATATATATATATATATATTCATATACATACATATATGAATATATATATATATATAACATGTGTGAGTATATGTATATATATACAAATATATATACATGTATGTGTATATATACATATGTAAAATAATTCATAAATATATATGTAAGATTTCATATATCTATAAATTTATAACTATATTTACGTGTGTGTGTGTACGTCTCTCTCTGTGTGAAAGGTTATACATATATATATATGTACATGTATAAATACACACAATTCGTTTTTAAGAAGTTATTTGGCATTGCCAAATACATGTATTATATGTAAAAATGATTAAGAAGGGTATCCAATCAGGGAACGGTGGCAATGCCAAATAACTTCTTAATAACGAATTGAAAGAGGCCTAATTCCTTAAGTTAAATGAATGGCTATGTAATAGTGCTCATATATGTGCAAATATTTATAAATATGAACATATATATACCTAAATATACATATTCATATACATATGTAATTATATATGTGTATAACTAAATGTATGTGCATTTTCATATACGTATATACATGTACATATATATATATATATATATATATATATATATATATATATATATATATGTATATATATATATGTGTGTGTGTGTGTGTGTGTGTGTGTCTGTGTGTATTTATACTGTATATATACCGTATATGTGGAGGACACAAAATATATATATATGTAAGGCTATATGTATATGTATATATATATTTGTGTGTATGTATATATTACGTATTGGTTTCTTTGACATCAATTCCAAGACTAGATTCCCTTCAATAACTTAATTTGTGAGATTTGATCTTAATAAGAGAGAACGACTCATTGTCTAAAAATAAATTTACGTCTTTCATTCACGGCTGTAAAGGTATTTATTTAGTCCAAAAATCAACGAATTTATTTTTCAAAGACTAAGGAAGTATATTTATGCGATCTGGTGCTTTCGGGTGCGTGAACATTTCCTAGTCGAAGGCCACGCCCCGTACAGGGTCCGTATATAAAGAGGCTTCCACAAGCAGTCAGCAGACACAACGTCCTCAGTGAGCCAAGAAGAGGTCCAACCATGAAGCTTGTGGTAAGTCGACATATCTGTGAGAGAATTAAGATTTATATATATATATGCTTGCATGTCTCCCTGAATAAAAACAGAACACACCCATATTTGTGTGTGTGTGCTCATATATATATACTCGTGTGTATGACTATATATTTACACATATATACCTACACACACAAATGCATATACATGCATATATGTATATTCACAAATATATACTTACATTTATATATAAACATTTATACATATATATATAAATCTATATTTTACATTTTATTTTATTGTACCATTTTCGATCCTATCAATTTTTCATTGATTAGCGATAATAAGTATGTATTACTGATATAAGTTGTCTATAAGTGATTGATTAATGACTAATAAAATCGGGGATAATTCACAGATTAGCAATCATCATTTATTCTTCGAAAGCATTTTTTTTCTTTCCTTTAAGCAGTACAAATAATGATATAATGGCTATTTTTCAGGCAATCACACTGGTGTGTTTGGCAGCGGTCGTGGTAACACACGCCGATCCCGAACCACACAATTACCGCCCATACTCATACCACCACTACCCCAGCTACCACTATTATCCTCATAACCATCATACCAGGCCACTGGAGGGCGATGGAGTGGCCAGACATCCAGGTGGCGGCACCTCCTTCGTGGCTCCTCAAGTTCACGGCCTCACTAAACGCTCAGCTGACCCCATGCCGGAACCCCATCCTGAAGCAGCAGCTGACCCTGATCCATCCAATAGCTATAGTTACCAGGTAGTTAACCATGGCCATCCCCGCTATGGATATCACAATGGCTATCGCTACCCTTACAATAGCTATCGCTACAACCACTACTATGGTTATCCTCACAGATACCACAACCACCACAAGAGATCAGTCGAATCTGAACCCGAACCTGAACCTCATTACACCTATCACGGACGCCCTCACTACTACAACAGATACTATCACGGCTATCCTCACTACTATCCTTACTACGCCGGTTACCGCTACCGCTACAGGGGATAAAGGAGAGGTCAGGCATGGATTGCAGAGGGCCTTGTGGTGATGGTCCTTTACCGGATGTGTCTGATAGTCTGGTTTGCTCACGCCGTTTTTTCAGGCACATCCAGTGCGGTTATCACTGTTGAAACAAGAAATTGATTAAAAAAATAAATAAATAAAGATTACAATCAATATTGGAAAATTCCTTCACCAATTTTAGATTATTGTGGATAGCGAATTGTTATCATTATCATAAAGTTTAAACTTTTATATCTAAATAACACTGCCATAAGTATGAAAACATATTTTTAAATGCTTA